GGTCAGGAAGGGGGGCCGGATGGGTGCGGGGGCCGATAAGGATGCAAGGGGATCTGGTGGGGGGGGAGGAGTTCAACCAGCATCTTCCATACCCGGCCGGGCAGCAAGACCCCAAACCACACTCAACTGCTGTCCCCCCCTCACTGTGTCAGCGTGGGGGGAACCCCCGGGGGTGCATCTGTCCCTTTACCCCTCCTTCCTCCCCCCCCCAGGTACCCAAGCCCCTGCCAAGAAGCCTCGGAGCCGCAGCATCCTCCAGTCCCTGTTCTGCTGCCTGTGCCGCGATGAGGGGGAGCCCCGCGCCAGCACCACCAGCGCCCCACTGCTGGTGGAGGAGAACGGGGCCCTGCCTAAGGTAACTGCCCCCCGGGGCCCCCTTGCACCCCTGGCCTTGCATTAGAGGGAAGCAGCACTGAGGGGCTGGGCTGCCCATTCCCAGCACTTTTCCTGCGCCAGGTTGAGGGGTGGAAGGAGCTTCTCCCTCTCTCTGGGTGGGCAGGAGGGGCGGCGGTGCCCCCTGTTACCCTGCTGACACCCAGGTTTGGCTGTGCCCCCCTCTCGCCTGCTGCAGGCTGCTGTCAAACACCTCCTGCCTGAGATCAAGCCACAGGATGGCAGCAAGCTGTGCGTGGTCATCGACCTGGACGAGACGCTGGTGCACAGCTCCTTCAAGGTGGGGGACATGCCTGCCCACCCCACCCCTCCTGCCCCTTGTCCTTCCCCCCACTCTGCTTTGTCACTCCTCCAGTGACTGCCAGCTCCCACGAGCAGCCCCTGGGCACAGCCTTGCTGGGTCAGATGGGGTGTCCCTGCAAGGGGGCTCCAGGGGATCCATAGTGGGTGGGGGGTGCCCAGCCAGCACTGACCTCATTGTGTCCTTCCCAGCCGGTGAACAATGCTGACTTCATCATTCCCGTGGAAATCGATGGCACCATGCACCAGGTAAACAGGGGGTGCCTGGCAGGTGGGGGCCACAGTCCCCTCTGCCCCCTCCCTGGGGACCAGGAGCCGTCCCAGCACTTAACAGTGAGGGGCAGTTGGGGGTGCCAGGGCTGGTACTCTGGGGAGCTGAGGTGGGTGCCCCCCTTTCCAGTGCGGTGGGAAGGTGAAGGGGTGTCCCAGCTCGGTGCCCTCCCACAGTGGCCAGCCCCAGGTTCAAGTAATCCAGGATAGGCTGTGGTCTGGGCAGTCAGCCTGTTCTTGGTTACTTGGCTCCCGAGCCGGCCAGACGCTTCAGGCCGGAGGTGGCCGCCGGGCTGCGGCGGCCCACACAGCCCCCCCAGCACTGGGCACAGGCAGCTCTGTCCCCCTTCCCCAGCAGGGAGCAGCTAGCTGGGGTGGGGGACACAAGTGTCCCCTGGGGGGGTGGGCATGGAGTTGCTGTCGGGGGGCTGGGTGGCCGTGGCACACTGCCCTCTGCCCCGTGCCCGCAGGTCTATGTGCTCAAGCGGCCTCACGTGGATGAGTTCCTGCAGCGAATGGGCGAGCTCTTCGAGTGCGTGCTCTTCACTGCCAGCCTGGCCAAGGTGGGTGCCCTGCTGCTCCCTGCCGCTCCCTGCCATCATCCTTCTTTTCCTGGGCACCCCTGGGGTGGCACAACTCCCCTCGCTTGCCCACGGATGGGCATCACTGGCCCCTTGTCCCCTGCCTACCTGCAGGCAGTGCCAGTGTCAGGCAGTGCCCCTTCCTGCCCCTCCAGGGTGCTGGCCAGGGAAACTGAGGCACGGGGTGAGCTGGCACCAGCGGAGAGCTGGGTGCCATCACCACCGTGGGGTGGGCAGGGTGGCACAGTGTGCCCCTGTGACCCTCCCATCCCATGCCTGCAGTATGCGGATCCTGTGGCTGACCTGCTGGATAAATGGGGGGCTTTCCGGGCGCGGCTTTTCCGGGAATCCTGTGTCTTCCACCGTGGCAACTACGTGAAGGACCTGAGCCGCTTGGGCCGCGACCTGCGCCGCATCATCATCGTGGACAACTCGCCCGCATCCTACATCTTCCACCCCGATAACGCCGTATGTACCCCTGGGATGAGGCTGGGGCGGGGGCTCTGCAGGGGAGGTGGCAGGACCCTCCCCTCAGCCCTGCCCCCTGTGCCGCCCGCAGGTGCCGGTGGCCTCCTGGTTCGATAACATGGCAGACACGGAGCTGCTGGACCTGCTGCCCTTCTTCGAGAGGCTCAGCAAGGTGGAGGACGTGTACGCAGTGCTCAAGAAGCAGCGGACTAACAGCTAGTGGCCTCCCCCCACCACGCTGGTTGCTACCGGGGGGGGACACACTGCCGTGGCAGCTGGGTGCCTTATTTTTACAGAGGGTCCTAGCGTACCCCCCTCGTTGTCCTCCCCAGCCCCGGTGGGTGTGCGTGTTCTCCCTGCCTGCTGGTGGTGGGAGATGTGGGTGTCCTCCTGCCGGGGAGCTGGGTGTTCCCTGTCTGCAGAGGAGGGGGGGGCTGTGGGTGACCCACTGCCCTGCAGTGCTGGGGACCTGTTCGGGGGGTCCTGTCCTCCATCCACTGTCCCACACCTCTCCCAGCCTACGTTCTCCATCCCCAAAACGGTTCTCAGGTCCTTTTCCCCTCTATGTCTCCCCGAGTGGGGAAGGGGGGTCAGCAGCTGCTGCTTTCCACTGCCTTTGAGGGGGGACTGGACCCCCCCCATTCAGGCTCTGCCTGCTAGGGGGGCTGGTGGCCCTCGATCCTAACTGTAGGGGGGGGCACAAGAAAAGTTAACCCTTTACCACCCCAAAAAGACAGGGAGGGTCTTACTTCCCTTGGATGGGGCTGCCACCATACCCTTAATTTTGCCCTTGGTGCAGCTTATCACCGGGGAGGGGGCATGTCCCTGCCCCTTCCTTGTGCCTTCTTCTGCCCCCTGCCTGGGGGGTTGTGTTCTGGGGGGCAGCTAAACCTCGGGCTGGCCACAAATGCCCCCCCGCCCCTCCGGTGCCTTGGGACACCACTTTCTCGGTCCCTCTCAGCCCTGCAAGGAGTCTACTTGGGGGGGGGGCTCTTAACTCACCTCCTCCAACCTCAGTTTCTTCCCATGGAGGGGATGGGTATGGTGGTCTCTCCCCACTCCACTGTGTCAGTGGAAACGACTCCAGTCACCAACGGGAGGTCTCCTCCCTCGTGGGGGAGGAGGAGGAGCATGCAACCCCTCCCCAGCCAACTGCAGCTTCACCAAAGGCTGTGACTCCAATTGGGGAGGGACCTCCATACCAGCCTTAGTGTGCCCGCTCTTACCCCAGCCCCCCAGCTGGGGCAGGGGACACTGCCAACCCCCCCCTCCCTGCAGCCTCGGGTTACCCTGACCCCCGTGGGGTTGGGCTGTGCCAGGGTGTCCCCCAGCCTTGAGGGGCTGGGGGCTCTCAGGGAGGGGTTGGGAGGGTGGGGGAGGAACTGAGCTCAGCCAGGCCTTTTTTAGTGTCACAAGATGGACAATATTTCATATATTTTTAGGGGGAGAAGCAACGGTTTCCCAAAAAAATCATGGGTGCCTTTTTACTGCCGTGCCAGGGAAGGGGAGGGCAGTGTTTGGAGGCAGGGAGGGGTGGGAGGGACACGAGGGGTTTTAGCTCTCTGGTGCTGTCTGGCCGGCTCCTGTTGGCATTGCCCTTTTCCCAGTGCTGGGTGCCAGGGGCAGGGCTCCCCCCGCCCTGCCTGCACCCCTGCCTTCACCTCCTGCCCCATGGCAGGGGGGAGGATGGATGGGGGATGCTGTGGCACACCCATCCCCCAGGTCTCTGACTGCCCTTAGCCTGATCTTGCCCCTCCAGGAGCATTGAACTCAGCACTTTATATTAGACAAGTCAAATGACACCAGCAGAGCCACTGCCTAGCAAGCACCCATAGGTGCTGCAGCACCTGAGGAGCACAGCCCCCATGCTGGGCACCCTTGGGGGCTCTGGTTGGGGGCAGTGGTGGCATTAGTGGGGCTAGGGAGGGCTGGGGGACCAGATCCAAGTGCCTTCATGTGATTAAAGCTGTCAAACCATCTTAGAAAGGGGAGTCCTGTGTGTGTGTGAGTGGGTGCATGCATGGCCACGTGCCTGTCACTAGTGGGTGCACACAGTGTGGGGGCAGAGATCCTGCAGGAGTCTCTAAATTCCCCTGGGAAGGGGTGGTGCTGCTGCAGGTGAGTGTTGGGGGAGCACCCTTGGGATGCAAGGCTGGGGGGGTCACCCCTTTCTGTGTACCAAGGGGGCACTCCCACAATCCAGGCCCCCTGCCCTAGCACTCCCTAACCTAACCCCTTCCCTCTCTTCCTGGGAGAAGGATCCTGATGCCATGGGGTTTGTATCCTGCCCTTAACGATGGTGGCATGAATATACTGTGTGGACTGTGTGCCCAGGCTTCGGGGCAGGGAAAGATGTCACAGGTGCTCCCCCTTCCTCATTTTCCTTCAAATAAGGTGTTGGGACCCCTCTCCTGACTGATCACTGGAGGGGGACTTATGATCCCCCCACAGCAGCCACCGTGCAGGCAATGGGGTGCTGGGGGGCATCCTCTTAGCTGCCCCCACCCTGTGCCCTCATTGGCCCTGTGCCTTCCCTCATTAATGAAGCTTCTGTCCTCCCTGAAGACTGCACTAATTACTGAGTTCATTAGTGGCTCAGCAGTGTGTCCAGCCGGGGGGCCCAGGGAAGGGGCGAGCCCTCTGGGACCCACGGAGGGTTCCCCACCCCAGTGCCACACGGGCAGGCTCAGCCCTGGGACGCAGCCACCGAGAAGAGCGGCCACTTGGGAGCCACATCCCACCCAAAACTCAGCCCCGCACTCCACCAGGAGCTCTGCACCCAGGTAAGGGTCCCACGAGGGACACTTGTGGGGTGCAGGGGGTGGGAGCTGGATAGCATGGTGCGGAGGTTTGGGGGTCAGGGGTGTGGAGGGCAGCAACAGAGCCTATCCCTGTGGCATCAGGGCACCCCTGTTTGTGGCTGACGACCCCCCCTGGCCTAGTTCAGCCTATTGCCATCACTTAAGAGATCCTTGGGGAGGGGGCAGACGTGATTTGGGGCTCACTGCAGCCCAGGCCTGACGCTGGGGTGACAGCTGGGGTTTGGGATGCCAGTGGCCCTGGTATCCAGAGCTGCTGGCTCAGCCAGATGGTCAAGATAAGGTTGCAGGGCTGGGGAAGAGATAAGAGTAGGACAGTGAGCCCAGGGGCCTGCCTGCTGCTGAGAATCCCCCTGCCCTCCTCAGCTTTATGCACTCCCCTGGTAGTCCCCCAAAACCACCCTCAGGGCTTCAGGGGCTGGGAGCCAGTCCAGTCCCCTTGTTTGTCTGCCAACACCAAGGGCATTGTCAGGTACCGCCCCTTGGGTCTGGGATTTAAAGGCACTGGACAGGGCAGAGGGCTTAGCTGTGCCACCACCCTGTTCCCTGCCCCATGCCCCTTCCCTGTGCCCTCTTCCCATCCCCCAGACTGGGGCTGCAGAGCCCCCCAGTTCTGGGAGGCAAAACCCATTGGGGAGTGGGCAGGGATCTGGCCTCCAGCTGGGAGTGGCACAGGTTGGGGCAAGTCCCTCAGGCAGGGGAGTGATGTGCCAGGTAGGAAGTGGAACACAAGGACATGTGGGGTGGGAAGCGGATTCCCTAGGCAAGTGATGCTGTGTTGCTTGTGCCTCTGAGCTGGTGGCAGCAGAAACCCCATTGCCACGGGATGAGGGGAGAGGAGGGCAGCAGAGCAGCCAAGCCCTGTGGCATCAGCCTGTTGCTATCACTTTGGACAACCTTTTTTTTCTTTGGTGGGGGGAGAGGAGTGGGCAGTAGGCACCAGAAAAAACCCCATTACCACAGGCTTTGTGCTCCACAGCTCGAAGCATTTTGGGGACTGGGGAGTGGAGAGCAGTGGCAGAGCCAATCCCTGTCATATCAGGGCACCTCCAGGTTTGTGGCTGACTCTAACCTCCCCCTGCCTGGTTCAGCCCATTGCTAGCACTTTGGATAACCTCTTGGTGAGTGGCAGGCATCAAAAGTGACCCAATCACCATGGGATCAGTGCCCAGGGCCAAGAGGGGAGCAGGACTGGGAAGGGACACAGGTACCACCTTGGGTGCAGAAGAACCCTGGGCAGGATGCCTGGGATTGCCCTGTGCTGCAATAGCACCAGAGGGGACAATTGTCTCAAGAGTAACGGGGCTCTTCAGGTGCTGGGAAGCCTTAGAAGACTGGGAGACCTTGACTCTGGGCTGTTCCTGCCCTTATATGGTGAACATAGGCTGGGACACAAGGGGACAAAGGTCTCCTGGGTGCTGGCACCCTCGCACTTTGCCTAGGTGCACTCACCTGTGCCCAGCTTCACGGGGAAGGTGAGGAGCTGGGGTGGGAGGCTGGAGGGTGGGCTTGAAGGGAGGCAGCAGCTCCCACAGCCACTGTTACTCCTGGCACTGGGGTGGCCTGGGAACTGGGGGACTTGGGGACCCACCCTTGGCCCACCTCAGGGCTGTGCTGGGGGGACATCACCCCCGGAGATCTGAGGGGCAGGTTGTGGGTGCTGTCTGGGCATTGCAGTAGGGACCAAGTGGGTTTTTATGGGATTTGGGGAGCAGGGACCTCTCCGTTGGACACCACTGGCTCTTCCTGACAGCCCCGTGGCATGCTCAGCACCTCTGGGGTGGCTGTGCCCTCCCTGGCGAGCATGGAATCAGTGGTGGAGTTGGGATTGGAGGGGGGAGGGTGAAGCAGGCAGAGTGTGGTTGCACACACATGTGAGTGCAAGGCGACTGGCCATGCTGTGCCATGGTGTGCCAAGCTGTGCCACGACCAGGCTGAATGGATCTGGTTCCTGCTGGTGCTGGGAGCTGCAGGTCACTGGGCAGTGGTGTCACCCAGCTGTGGCTGCTGTGCTGGGGGTGCCCTGTGCAGCCCTGCCCTGTGCCTGGACACCAGGCTCCCCACTCCTGCCCACCACAGACCCTGGCACAGAGCCGTGGCAGCCCCCAGTGCCTG